CCATAATAAGCCAATGTTTCTTTTTGTTTGTGTTTTGTTACCATGAGAGTTGGTTTGTTTCCATGTTGCTTTGTTTCCATGTTGGTTTTCACATTGTTATATGAGGGTTGATTTATTTCTATGTTGGTTTCCATGTTGCTGGCTTACTGTTGTAGTTGATTTGTTTCTATAAAAGCTGATTTCTATAATGTTGGTTTTTACATTGCTAAGCCGTAGTTGAATTGTTTTCATAAGCATTTGTTTTATTACCATTAAAACCTAGAAGAGAAGAACAAAATTGTGCACTGATACAAACTTGTGCGTATAAGCAACAAAATAGAGTAAACAAACACTAATAACACTCATATTCCCGATGCCTTCATCAGTAATGAGATAATTCCTTGAACAATGCAATCGCCTAAATGAAAGTTTATACTCCGGTATCATTTTAAGACGAGGAGTACAAAAAAAGACAAGCATTAACACATTTTTTTTTAATTTTTTTTAATTTTTTTTTTTGCTTTACGTGGGGTGTCCGGGCCAGCTTGCACGCACCACAACTAATCCCCACGGCCTACTGAACACCCTGCAAACCCAGCCCCCCGGCCTACTGAACACCCTGCAAACCCAGCAGGCAGGTAAGGCAGCGCGGGGCTGATAGACATGCAACTCCAAGGCTCGAACCCTTAGCAGCGGAAGGCACAAGACGCCTGCCACCGCTGGGCCAATGTCTTGGATGCAAGCATTAACACATTATTCATAAGAGAAGAACTCTAAATTTCAGCCGTCACCCTATATGGCAACATAAAACTCCAATAAATGCAGTCAAATAATTAACAAAATTAAGAAACCACATAAACAGAAAAGAAAAAATTTGTGCAACGGATTGAACTTTCCTTTTGAGTTTTCTACAGAGTTCTTTCGATGTTTTTATGGGGAATACTTTCAGTTTTCACAAACGTTTTTCATTATTCAGAATATATAGATCTCAATTTGGACACTTCAACCCTCGTAACATCTCGATCTTGGATTCTTAACTATATAATCATTTACTTGCCGACTTCTCACAAGTTCCAAAGGTTACCCACTAGGATTCCTGCCTCCTCTAGTATTTTTATATATATAGGAAAAGTAAAAAAATAAATAAAAGGAAAAAGAGGGCGTGATTAGTGAGGTTCCCTGTGCTAAGTGACGCGTTCCTTTTTATAGTGTGGGAGATGGTTTGATACAACTTCTAAGACTATAAAACTTCAAAGAGGTTGTCTAGTGAATAAGTAGGTATTTTGTTTTTATTATTTTTATTTTGTGGGTTTAAAACTTGAGCTTAACCCATTAAAGAATTTATTAAAATTTTCTAAATATATTAGGCTAATGTACTAGATGTATCTTTAAAATTGTTCATAGAAAAGATTTAATTTTGACTAATTCACAAATTAATTATAAATTTGACTTGAGAGTAATCGCAATTGGTTGGTGAAAGATAACGAAGCACTATCTATTCGTTAATTATACAACTCAAATTGACATTATTATGAAAGCCATGGATTTTTAATACTAACCTTCATTGTCAAAGGACTTGGGATGGGTTCTTCCTTTTATCAGCAGATTCATTGGGTTTTCACTTCTTTCACTATGGATTTATTAACATCAAACATCTAGTCAGCAGTCACCTAACTAGTTTTTGGAGGTTGGTGAAGGGGATGACATCTACTGCCGAAGCACACTGGACGGTTGTTAATTTTTAAACTGTTTTTTATTTAAAAATAAATTAAAATAATATTTTTATTTTTAAAAATTTATTTTTATATGAATATATCGAAACAATTTAAAATTATAAAAGAATTAATTTATATCAATGTTAAACACAAAAACAAATAAATATTAATCTTGATACTTGCAAATTAATTATTATCATCGTGCATTTACTGAACACTTTATTAAACAAATAATTAAAAGGAATATGCGAGTTATGAGCGCTCTCAGAACCATTATAATATTATATTATATAAAACCAATTCATGTCACAATTTTCCTTTATCCGAGTCAGTTCATGTGTGAAGTGTGATTACCAGTGTCGGATATCTGGGTATCCAAATAGGCCCACCAGGAGAAGAAAGGTGCAAATTTGGACTGAAGTTAGACTGAATTCCAAATATCTGTGATCCAGCTTTAAAACGTTACGTTTTAAGGAAAACCTAATTTATTCTCTAATTTATATATTCAATCTTAACTGGATCTCAATCAGACCTATAAATTTTATCAATCTCATGTCAAATATTCTATAAACAATCAATCCTAATATTAATTGTAAAAACAAATGAATATTAATCATGATACTTATAAAATAATTATTGCCGTCATACATTTACTGAACACTTTATTAAACAAATAATTAAAAGGAATATGCGAGTTATGAGCGCTCTCAGAACCATTATAATATTATATTATATAAAACCAATTCATGTCACAATTTTCCTTTATCCGAGTCAGTTCATGTGTGAAGTGTGATTACCAGTGTCGGATATCTGGGTATCCAAATAGGCCCACCAGGAGAAGAAAGGTGCAAATTTGGACTGAAGTTAGACTGAATTCCAAATATCTGTGATCCAGCTTTAAAACGTTACGTTTTAAGGAAAACCTAATTTATTCTCTAATTTATATATTCAATCTTAACTGGATCTCAATCAGACCTATAAATTTTATCAATCTCATGTCAAATATTCTATAAACAATCAATCCTAATATTAATTGTAAAAACAAATGAATATTAATCATGATACTTATAAAATAATTATTGCCGTCATACATTTACTGAACACTTTATTAAACAAATAATTAAAAGGAATATGCGAGTTATGAGCGCTCTCAGAACCATTATAATATTATATTATATAAAACCAATTCATGTCACAATTTTCCTTTATCCGAGTCAGTTCATGTGTGAAGTGTGATTACCAGTGTCGGATATCTGGGTATCCAAATAGGCCCACCAGGAGAAGAAAGGTGCAAATTTGGACTGAAGTTAGACTGAATTCCAAATATCTGTGATCCAGCTTTAAAACGTTACGTTTTAAGGAAAACCTAATTTATTCTCTAATTTATATATTCAATCTTAACTGGATCTCAATCAGACCTATAAATTTTATCAATCTCATGTCAAATATTCTATAAACAATCAATCCTAATATTAATTGTAAAAACAAATGAATATTAATCATGATACTTATAAAATAATTATTGCCGTCATACATTTACTGAACACTTTATTAAACAAATAATTAAAAGGAATATGCGAGTTATGAGCGCTCTCAGAACCATTATAATATTATATTATATAAAACCAATTCATGTCACAATTTTCCTTTATCCGAGTCAGTTCATGTGTGAAGTGTGATTACCAGTGTCGGATATCTGGGTATCCAAATAGGCCCACCAGGAGAAGAAAGGTGCAAATTTGGACTGAAGTTAGACTGAATTCCAAATATCTGTGATCCAGCTTTAAAACGTTACGTTTTAAGGAAAACCTAATTTATTCTCTAATTTATATATTCAATCTTAACTGGATCTCAATCAGACCTATAAATTTTATCAATCTCATGTCAAATATTCTATAAACAATCAATCCTAATATTAATTGTAAAAACAAATGAATATTAATCATGATACTTATAAAATAATTATTGCCGTCATACATTTACTGAACACTTTATTAAACAAATAATTAAAAGGAATATGCGAGTTATGAGCGCTCTCAGAACCATTATAATATTATATTATATAAAACCAATTCATGTCACAATTTTCCTTTATCCGAGTCAGTTCATGTGTGAAGTGTGATTACCAGTGTCGGATATCTGGGTATCCAAATAGGCCCACCAGGAGAAGAAAGGTGCAAATTTGGACTGAAGTTAGACTGAATTCCAAATATCTGTGATCCAGCTTTAAAACGTTACGTTTTAAGGAAAACCTAATTTATTCTCTAATTTATATATTCAATCTTAACTGGATCTCAATCAGACCTATAAATTTTATCAATCTCATGTCAAATATTCTATAAACAATCAATCCTAATATTAATTGTAAAAACAAATGAATATTAATCATGATACTTATAAAATAATTATTGCCGTCATACATTTACTGAACACTTTATTAAACAAATAATTAAAAGGAATATGCGAGTTATGAGCGCTCTCAGAACCATTATAATATTATATTATATAAAACCAATTCATGTCACAATTTTCCTTTATCCGAGTCAGTTCATGTGTGAAGTGTGATTACCAGTGTCGGATATCTGGGTATCCAAATAGGCCCACCAGGAGAAGAAAGGTGCAAATTTGGACTGAAGTTAGACTGAATTCCAAATATCTGTGATCCAGCTTTAAAACGTTACGTTTTAAGGAAAACCTAATTTATTCTCTAATTTATATATTCAATCTTAACTGGATCTCAATCAGACCTATAAATTTTATCAATCTCATGTCAAATATTCTATAAACAATCAATCCTAATATTAATTGTAAAAACAAATGAATATTAATCATGATACTTATAAAATAATTATTGCCGTCATACATTTACTGAACACTTTATTAAACAAATAATTAAAAGGAATATGCGAGTTATGAGCGCTCTCAGAACCATTATAATATTATATTATATAAAACCAATTCATGTCACAATTTTCCTTTATCCGAGTCAGTTCATGTGTGAAGTGTGATTACCAGTGTCGGATATCTGGGTATCCAAATAGGCCCACCAGGAGAAGAAAGGTGCAAATTTGGACTGAAGTTAGACTGAATTCCAAATATCAATAATAAAAAGGAGCCGTTGCACCAAAAAAAGAAAAAAGGAAAAAAAAGGAAAGGGAAGGACAAAAGAGTAAAAGGGAGGAAGAAAGATGTTAGAGAGGGTAGGAAACAGAAAAGGAGGGAGACGTGATATCCAACGGCAGCAGGGCGTTACTTGGAAAAAAAGCCAACAATTAGCGACAATTTCGATGCCCTCACTGACCTTTCTAGGCTACTCCTATTTCAAAATATAAACCCTCACAACGCCCTTTCATCCCTCCCCACATCGCCTCCCTCTCTTTCAGTAATCTCCCCGAACTCTTCTTCCTGCAAAAATGTCTTGCTTCAAGAGCAAATACGCTGGTAATCCTCATATCCTATTACTTCTTGTTCTAAAATCTTGCTCTAAAACGTATATTAATTTAGTTTATTTTTATTTCAGATCTGTTAATTAAATTTAGCTTACTTCCATTTTCAACATGATCTCAAGATTTAAGTGTTGTGGTTAGGTTCTTGCTGTCTCTATTGTTGTTTTCGAATCTAGGATTGATCCGATCCGATTTCATGTTCATTAGTATTTCTTTTTTCATGATATCCGTCTGTCGCATGTTTTGTGTTTGAACGGTCAGTTTGGACAATCAGATCGGGTCTTTTCTATTTTGTTATTATAATCTAAGGTTTACAGATCTGTTTTTCCTACTACTCCAGTATGTTTCAAATTTAAATTTAGATCCGAGATACAGGTTTATTTTTATTTGTCTGTTTTATTAATTATAAATGATTAAGAGTTGTTTAATTCCTCAGATTTACATTTATAAGATTGTTCTTTCGATTTTCCACTTATTATAGACTTGATGATTTGTTAATTTTGCAGATGAACTCATTAAGAATGCTGCCTACATTGGCACCCCTGGGAAGGGTATCTTAGCTGCTGATGAGTCAACTGGCACAATTGGCAAGCGTCTATCCAGTATCAATGTTGAGAATGTCGAGGAAAACAGGCGAGCCCTTCGTGAGCTCCTTTTCTGCGCCCCTGGTGCTCTTCAATACCTCAGCGGAGTTATTCTCTTTGAGGAAACACTCTACCAAAAGACTGCATCAGGTACCGATGTTGATCTGCTTTTCTTTTTCCAATTTCCGCTGTGTTTTCTGTTTTTGTAGTCTGTTTTCATGTGTTTTATAAGTATTTCATCTCAATTGTTTTGTGTGCAGGCAAGCCCTTCGTTGATGTCTTGAAGGAAGGAGGTGTTCTCCCTGGTATCAAGGTTGACAAGGGTACCGTTGAGCTTGCTGGCACAAACGGTGAGACCACAACTCAGGGTCTTGATGGCCTCGGCCAGCGCTGCGCAAAGTACTACGAAGCTGGTGCACGTTTTGCCAAATGGCGTGCTGTGCTCAAGATTGGTGCCAATGAGCCATCTGAGCTGGCCATCCATGAGAATGCCTATGGTTTAGCCAGATATGCTGTCATCTGCCAGGAAAATGGCTTGGTCCCCATTGTAGAGCCTGAAATCTTGGTTGATGGTCCACACGATATTGAGAAGTGTGCCGCAGTAACAGAGCGTGTTCTTGCTGCATGCTACAAAGCTCTCAATGATCACCATGCCATACTTGAGGGTACTCTCTTGAAGCCGAACATGGTTACTCCTGGATCAGATGCTCCCAAGGTTGCACATGAGGTTATTGCTGAGTACACAGTCCGTGCACTTCAACGTACTGTGCCCCCGGCAGTTCCTGCTATTGTATTCTTGTCTGGTGGCCAGAGTGAGGAGGAGGCCACCCTCAACCTCAATGCCATGAACAAACTAAACACCAAGAAGCCATGGTCTCTATCCTTTTCCTTTGGACGTGCTCTTCAGCAGAGTACCCTCAAGGCCTGGGCTGGCAAGCCGGAGAATGTGGGGAAGGCTCGTGCTGCATTGCTTGCCAGATGCAAAGCTAACTCAGAGGCTACTCTTGGTACGTACAAGGGTGATGCCACTCTTGGTGAGGGTGCCTCAGAGAGCCTCCACGTCAAGGACTACAAGTACTAAGAAGTCCCATCATTTCAAAGTTCCGGAGAGTCGCTATCTCGCCATAGTTCTAGCTTTCTTTTTTCTGTGATGCTGCTCGGATTTTGCTTGGAACTAGATAATAAAAGGATGAGGAAAAACACTGGGGTGTTGAGCTTGAATGGCTTTGATCACAACTGTTTATGTTTTTGTTTTCTAAGATTCAATTAAGATTATGATTGTATTTTGTTGCAACTGAAGTTTTTCGCATTGCTTCTTCATGCAAGGTATGTGATTCTCGTCAACCTTTTTTTTTCTTTGGCATTAGAAAGCCGTAAGCGCTCAATCTTATTCATAAAAAAATAACTTACTGTCAAGGAGGGACTATAATTAATGTCATTTGTTGGGCAAATTTTAAAAATTATTTTAGGTTTAAAATTAATTTTTTTATATTGATATTTATTTTGCTATATCGCATAAAATGAATATTTCACTAAAATGCTATGTTCTCTCTAAATAGCCCACAAAAATCTGTATGGCAAATTGTAATATGCAGAGAGTAAGTCGTGTATGAATGTTGTTATCATATATTGAACATTTGTCTTCCTACGGATTTCGAGCCCCACACTCCTTAACGGTAACCTATGAAAATTCACTTGAGATGCAGAGAAACCCAAAAAAGACTGAACTCTCATTTGGTTGATTTGTAGTAGTAATTGCAGCGAACTGGGATGTTCAACTCAAAATGGCAACACTGTACAGACTTGTTAGACTCACATTCTTATTTCTATCAAGTTCGTTGTAGTAACAGCAAGGATTTTGATAGCCTGAAGATGATGATCAGACAGAACAAATTTGTCTACAGAGAGAGACATAGGTGTTGTGCTTGTTGTCGGAATCAAAGCTACTATTTTATATTCGGTAAAAATCTTTTAAAAAAAAATGATTTTTTTTAAAAAAAAAATGATTTTTTTTAAAAAATAAATTATTTTTTTATATCTGGTAATGTTATAAAAAATAAGTCGAAAAATATTTTTTAATATTTAGTTATCTTATAGAAAATAAGATGAAAAATAACTAATTAATTTGTTTTTAAATTAATTAAAATAATATGGAATAAATCTTATAAATTAAAAAGATGAATAATAATGAAATTAAAAAATATATAATTTAATAAATGATCTCAAATAAAATAAATAATAATCAAAATAATAAAGAATAAATCTAAAGATAAAATAATTGAAAGATGATGAAATTAAAATAATAATAATTATAATTTCATAAATTATTTCAAATAAAATAAGTAATAATCAAAAGAATAAAGATCAAATTTAATAGATAAAGAATTTCAATTAAAAAAATAATAAAATAAAAAATAACAATCATAAAAATAAAGATAAAAGTTAATATAAAAATTAAATTAAATCAAATCATAAGAGGTGAAATTAAAAATAAAATAAAATAAAATATATAATAATATAAAATTTGAGGATCAAATTTGTTATAATCAACAAATAATATAATATTTCTAAATTTTTTATAATTTTTAAGAAGTGTTTTCTACCCAAAAAAGAAAAAACCAAGCTAATTTTTTAATTAAAAAATATTTTTTATTAAATACTTTTTTAATAGCAAACACATATAAAAAAAATTAAAAAGTAATTTTAAACTATTTGGGACGACTAAAAAGGAAAAACCTGAGAACATGAAAAAGAAAGGAAAAATAACGGTATGTTCAATGTTGGGTTTCAAATTGTGGGCTTATTTACACTTACGGTGATCGGATCTTAATCATCTTTAAGCCTTTCAACTGTTATAGGCCTGGGTTCTATTTATTTTGATTAGAGTTGGCCCGTCAATTTATGGATTGCATATAAGTAGAGGTGAGCAAAAAAATTAAAAAATTTAAAAAATTTAAAAAATAATTAAAAAAACAAAATCATAAAAATACATTGATTAAACCGATTAGAAAGATTAAAAAACAAGCTAGTTTGGTTCGGTTTGATTTTGATTTAAAAAGACTGAAACCGAATAAACTGAACTGAACTAGTTCAAATAAAAAAATTAATAGTACTATAAATACTTATCTTTCTAGCTTTCCCCATCTACTTTCTAAACCCTAATAGCCACCCATGTTTCACAATCTTCATCTCTCAACACGTCCCCATCCCTATCTTCACTCTCACTCTTTCTTACTCATATTTCTCAATCGTCATCTCTAAGCACAACTCTCCATTTTCATCTCTCAATTCTCAACCTTTTTCTCTTATGTTTCTCAATTTTCATCTCTCAGCATAGCCCTCTATCAATCTTCATCTCTCATCTCTCAACCTTTTTTTAAGGCTTTAAGCACAACCCTCCTCCTCCCCTAAAGTAGATATGGACGAACCATCTTTATTTCTTATCTCTCAATCTTTTTATTTTTTTATTTTTTAAGTATAGCCTACTAAGTCCATGACTTAAACAACTAAAGATGGCCCGCGGAGCTCCCCTTCTCTTCAATCTTTATTTCTTAATTTTTTTGTTCCTTTTTACTTTTTACTTTTATTTTTATAGATCTATTATGTATTTATTTTTTATATTTATTTACAAGGTTGTTGATTTGCCATAGTATGCTCATGTTGCGATTACTATTGTAATGAATGTTGTGAGAATTATTTTTTTCTAAATTTTTGTCTAACTCTTGTTTTTTTTGGCTTTCTTATTTTCAATTTCAGAAAACCTGCTCGATATGCCTGGCCAAAATGAAATTGATTTTTTATAGTTTTTTCTTTAATTAATTGAATTGAATCGAACCAAAATTGGTCGGTTTGAATCGGTTTCAGTTCAGTTTTGGTTTTGATTTAAAAATGAATAAATAAAATGGTTTGATTTTTTTTTTTAGTGATAACCAGACCAGACTAGAAATGTTTACCCTATAAAAAAATGTTTGCAATTTAGAGTTCGGATCACCTGATGTATGCATGCACACCAAGATTTTTAATTTTGTTTTGATTAGTGTTATAGTTTTTTTATTTGAAATGGTTTATTTTAGTTTTGGAGTATTTGATGTGTGCATGTTTGTATGTATGTCTATATATATATATAATTTTAAATATTAATTTAACAAATAAAAATTCAATTTAAATTCAAAAATAAATTAATTTGAAATTATACAATTCAAATTTCAAACACAAGTAAAAAAAGATGGAAGTTGAACTAATATAAGCCGATTGACTTAACGGGTTCAAAAACAACTTTGACAATTGATAAAAATATAGTTTGACTAAAAACAATTTAAGATAATATCTTTTTAATAAAAATACTAGGATGACAACATATTAAATTGACATTAGTCAATTCAAGTTAATCTTTCAAATCCACGACCTGAGTCATGAGACCTTGATAAACCCAAATAAATAAATTAAAATAAATTATGAAACTTAATTTTTAATAAACTCATTATTGAATGATGAAATTGAGAAAAATTCAATATAAAAAAAGGGACACAATAAAATGATCTACGTCGAGTCGGATAACTCGCGAAATCTATGATTTGGATCATGAGACTAGAATAATTTCATAAAAAACAAATGAAACAAGTAACAAAACTTAACTTATAATCAATGAAATTTTTAAAATGTTGAATGCTAAACTAAAAAAAAATCAATTAAAAAAATAGACGAAAACAACCCAAGTCAACTAGATTAACTTACTACACTCATAACATGAAGTATGAGATTGAGATAATCATAAAAAAAAAACAAACCATAATAAATTATGAAGTTCAATATTTAATAAACCAAATGTTACAGGATGAAATTAGAGAAAAAATATATATTAAAAAAAATATTATTTTGCCAAAACAGAATGATGGAACAAAGCCAGAACATTTTGAGTGAAATTTCTAGAACAAGCTGGGATTCTGAGTAAGATGAAATTTGTTTTAATTTGTTCTATTTTTTTTAATTGGAATTAGACACGTCAACCATTTCAAATGAAACAAAACAAACTTAACAATTTTGATACATATAGATTTTGACCTAAGAAGATTACATTTATATGATAATATAACACAACATAGATATGGTGACATGTGAATAAAAATTATAACTATAATATATTTATGCATACAAACTTGGTATTTTTTTTAAAAAATAATGAGTATTAAAACTAATTACAAAGTAAATAAAACTAGATTGGTGGTCAACATATTGTTACAGGCTGGGCTCAATTTGTTTTTTTTTACACAACAAAAATCATTAAGCACTACTAGCGTGTTTTAAAAAAAGTAAGAAAATTCATAACTCAAGTCATAAAATCAACTAAGTTCAATAAGCAAGTTTTATTCAATTATATAATAAAAAAATAAGCAATCAAATCGAATCAAATGAAATAAATAAATAAATTATTGATCACAATGCATATACAAAAAGAATACTTGATAATATTGTGAAAATATTCCTTGTCAATATTCTCAAAAGTTTCTACAATCTAACTAACATAGTAAAGAACTATATGGAAGTTAATAAACTAATATTTAAAATATATTTTTCAATTCATCTAAGAATAAGAAAAGACAACAACCAACAAAATATTAAATGACAGTAATTGAAAAATATATATTTTTTAAAATGATAAAAAAAACTCGAGTCAACTCGGGTCAATCTGTTAAACTTATGACACAAGTCATGAGAACATAATAATCCTGTAGAAATCATATGAAAAAATTTATGAAGTCTAATTCAAAGTCAAACCAATATTAAGTGATAAAATTATTAGAAAAATTAATTTAAAAAAACAACTCAAGTTGACGTAGGCTAGGTTGTTAAACATGTGTCCAAGGTCGTGAGGTTAGGAAACCCTATACAAAGCTTATTAAAAACAAAATATGAATATTATAGATGTTTTTTTAAAAAAGTTTAAGGTTAGATAACAATACACATTTTTTTATATATAGTTTTCTTATAATTATGAACATTAATTGATGTATGAATTGATTGTTAATATAACTTTTTACTAGGACAAGAAAAATAAGGAGGTGGCTAGAAAAGTTTGGGAAAACTATAATGCAATTAAAAAAGTATCAGCAAGAAAATATTATATTATTGTAAATTTATAATTTTTTTTATTTTTTTACATAATCTTTGTTTAACGAGTTTCTGTATTAAGTTATGTGATTTTTGGTATAACGCTTATAAACATGCAATGAACAGTGCTGATTCTAATAACATATCATTGTGGAAAATTATAGACCGAGGCGCGTCTTGGATGATAATTGAGAAATTTTTTAAGAATTTAT